TTTTCCCCCAATTTAATTTTGCCCTAATAGTTGGAATGATTAGAATGTTCGCATTTGTTGCTCCTGATAGTATTTAGAATGATTATTATGTTCACATTTGTTGTTATTGTGCATAATTTATTGACGCGATGGTGATTATTTTTTTTCCTCCCTAAATGTTGGAATTGGGTAATCCGAGAGATTATTTCCTCCCCAAATGTTGGAATTGGGTAAATGTTGGATGGTAATTATTTTTTTTCCTCCCTAAATATTGGAATTGGGTATATAAGTTGAGTTTAGTGGTTATTTTGTATTGAGTTTGTAATTGATAGTGTTGAGTTTGGTGGTTATTTTGTGTTAAGTTTTGGGTGTTTAGAACTATTTCATTTGGAATTGGTTCGAATCCATCCGGTTCACAATATAAAAACAAGTTTGTTCAACCGGGTCCTATTGAAGACCGAACCTTTAAAAGGGTGTAGGTTTGACCTAAAGTTTTGGGAATACTGTTATGGTAATACTACCCCTCCGGAAGTACGAGCGTTCTTGGGAAATACCGGGTTCGAAGGGGTATTGAAAATAGGATACAAAAAGTGTGATAATTGTCTCATCACCGTATTGGTGGAATGATGGAGACCAGAGACACATACTTTTTACTTCCCATTCGGAGAGGCAACCGTGACGTTGCAGGATGTGGAGGTCCTCTTTGGTCTCTAGGTTGATGGGGACATGGTTTGTGGTGTGGCCCCTAACCGTGGTGTGGCGCAATGGCAATTAATATGTCAAGACATGTTGGAATTCACCCCTGCCGAGGGTCGAATTGCGGGAAATACCCTTAAGATTTTCGTTATAGAGGTAGCGGCGCTCCATGCAATCCCTGAAGTTATTTATTTATTTATTTATTTTTTATAAATATTTTGAATTAACAACTTATTTTAAAAAATGTAAAGATTTGAAGTGTTGTATTTTGTAGGTTTTTCGGAGATCGTGTATATACGAAGGGCCCGATTGATGCTCTTGTGGTTTATGGGTTGTTTTATGTTTCTGGACAAAATCCAAAACAGTGTTAGTTTATATTTATTGAACCATTTGGCGGATTTCGCACCTTGTGCAAAACTTGATTGGGGATCGGCTCTCCTTGTTTATTTGTATTCTACCCTGTGCGAGGCTAATCAATACGAGAAACGTGATATAACCAGTTATGGATATCTTCTACAAGTATAAAGCTTCATTAATATGTGCGAATTCAATTTTTGACCATTTATACTCGTGTTAATTATTAGTATTCATGATGTTCTTTGCTGATTTAGGTTTGGATATATGAGCGGATCTAGAGAATCGCGCCCCAGAAAGTATTAAAGAATTTTGAAGAGGATCCAACCGCTCCTTTAGCTCAACGATGAGTTTATTTTTTTCACAAATTTTAAAGATTACTAATATTATTATTTTTCTGTTCCAAAAATAACACCTTTGAGTTTTTTGTATTGAAGGTGGAATTGCTCGTACTCCTACAAGGATGTCCCAAGGACTAGTCTCCTAGGTTTTAGAGATCAATTGACCATCTTATGTGCAACCGACGTAAGCTTGAATGACTTTTTTTTTGTTATTATAAATTTTTTACATTTTTGCCACCATTCTTATGTGAGTTAATTCGTTATTTTCCAATATTTTTACAGTTTCTTTGGCAACATTTGGATGACAAGGTCATGAATGTTCTATTGGGCAGTCCAAGAACCCCACGAAATTGACAAGGTCGTGAGACAATTTGGCTATATACAAGAAATTCCCCGAACTCCTATAATTGCCAATGTCCAAGAGAATAGGTTAGCTCACGAACACAACATGTCAGGGCTAACCGAGAAAAACTCGGTGGATCACCATCAAAATGCACGCCCTCATTGGATTAGGAGAACCCGACAACTTCCTAGGAATTTGGTGGAAGGAGAGCCCGACCAAATTTCGGAGGACTACGAAGAGTGGTTTAACAAAAATTCGGTGAGATTGTTATCCGATCCGAGTAATTACACAACAGTCAGATATGAGCCTTCCTCGACTCGTGTGAAAGTATAAGTAAGTGTTTATTTACAATTAATAATTTATTTTAATTTATTTCTCCAAATTTCTATTTATAATGTTTTATTAATAGTGTTTATTTACATTAATAATTTATTTTAATCTATTTTTCCAGGCTGAAGTGCTGAACAATATCCGCGTTAAGGCCATGACATTTCGAGAAAACCGTCGTGAGGCCGGTGACCTAGACATCGACCTCGAAAAAGTGCTCAGTGAGATCGTGGATCAAACTCATGCAGTCTTAACTCTTGGCAAAGATGATGAGATGGATATTGATACCGTGTGATTTTGATCCAAGATTAGTATTTTTTAGGTTCTTGGATGATTAGTATTTTTTAGGTTCTTGGATGATTTTGTATCTGAGTTATGATTTTTAGGATATTTTCCATTTGAATGTTATGAAAATATTTTTGTTTTGTTATTGGTTCTTTTCTCTGCTTTATTGTGTTGTTGGTGCTGTTTAAACAGGTTTAGGACTGGTGAAAACCAGACCAATAATGTTTTGCCATTATATGGTAAAACTCGGATTTGTGAAATCAGAGACCTACCATTTTGTATAGAAATCAGATTTCGGAAATCCGAGAGCTTGTGCAGAAAAATACATCCGGGAGCTGCATTTTATCAGTGAAACAGGGTAGACTCGGATTTGAAAAATCCGATGGTATAAAACTCGGAAAACCAAAATCCAAAAGGGGTTGTCTAGGATTACGAAAATCTGATGGTCGGTGCACAACAAAACCATCCAGGACTTGGATTTTATCAAAGAAACAGGGTGGACTCGGATTACGGAAATCCGAGTCCCCTAGTCTCGGATTCACGCCATCTGAGTGTCTTCCTTTTCATTTCAACACTTAGATTTTTTTTTCCAAAATATAAAATATATTTTATTCCGTTGTCTTGGATTACGGTAATCCGAGGCTTAGGGTCTCAGATTACCATAGTCCGTTTCTAGTCAATTTTTATTTTCAAATACTTAGATTTTTTTTTCAAAAATTTAATTGTAAGTCTTCGAATTACGCAAATCCAAGTCCTGATTAATTTTAATTAATTCTTTAATTAAAATTAAGTAAATTTTGGTTAACAATGTCTTGGATTACACTAATCCGATTTTTCGTTGTTTCGGATTTGCCAAATCCGGCTACTCATTTGTTTCGAATTTGGCGAATCCGTAACAATTACTTTTTTCCATTTCATTTTACTTCCTATTATTTTTGTCTAGGTTCTTCTTTTAATAATTTTTTTCGGTAAAAAACTCCAAGAAATTGCACTCTGCGGAGCATTTCGGTTTCTAGTTTCCCCATTTTTAGCTTGTTCCAGTATTCGTGACGATATAAATTAGTACCAATTAACAAACAAAATTAAGCTACAAATTAAACCAAATTTGTACTATATATTTTTTTCATTTTTTTTGAAGCTGAAACCGATGCGAGAATTGTCATAAAACATACAATAACAGAAGTAACTTGAATAAGCCAAAATTTGATAAAGTACAAATAATCCAACCATCCATACCTTCTTCTAGTTGAGCAGAGTTGCATTACCGCCTTCTCCAATCTTCTTTCCAGACTAATTACCCCTCTTTTCTATACGTTCTCTCTCAATGTGTATGTGTGTGTGTGTTGTGGGGGGTTTGGGTGCAGAGTTTGATAAGAAATGAATAAAGTTTCTTTGCAAGAGGAAAAGCAAGCTGGTGGAAGTGAGTTTTTATATTTTATGATTTTGTCAATTTGTTTTTTTTAGTGCTGGAATTATCTAGGAAAAGCAATAATCCCACAGTTTATTTTTACTCAATACTAAAATCTAGTGAATTAAGAAATGAGTTTTTATTTCTTCTATAGTTTTATTGGGCAAATTTGAATTGTCATTGTCGCTACTATGGCTCATGTGATAATCATTGTATCTTTCGAGAAAAGAATGATATCAAAGTTTAGGGTGTGTATCTAGTCTTAGATTGTTAAAAGTCTTTAATGAAGTCATCGAGTCAAACACATATATTCATAAGAAATACTCCCTCCGTCCCATAATTATTGTTCAGTTTAAGTTTTCATTTTTAGTTCAAATTATACTAAAAGTGAAATCTCAAACTGAACAATAATTTTAGAATAGCGGGAGTACTACGTACTTATGAATTAGGAGGGAAAAACAAAAAGCTAGACAGAAAAAATCATGATTGAGGCACAGTAAAGCATTTTTTTTTGGTAATAAGATAGTGTTCTTTTCTCGAGAAAATGTAACCATTTTTATAGAAAATCGTAAAGGTGACAACAGTCTCTCTCCAAATATATTACTCGATTACCGTCCAAATTAGTCTATTAAAGCATAGAATATGTGTTTATGGCTTTATGCCACAAGTCTAAGTATAATTGTAGCAGAAGTCCGAGCTACATCGACTGGTCAACGGTGACCGCCAAACCGCGTAATGGAAACTTTTCACGCGGATTGTAGACCTATTGTGATATGCCAATGCCATCATGGATTTTTAGAAGACACAACTTAGGTCAACAAATCAAGATTGGAGTATGACCGATGGACCAAAATGCAAAACTACTCCACAATTTGCAGAATGGAATAACCAAAAGAAATAAATATATTCAATGCGTATCAGAAAAATATTTCACTTTGATTGAGACAAAAGGATTAGTTCATTTTTGAAATTACAATGTTATCATAAAATTGACTAATTTTTTCTATGTGATGGAAAGTGTTGTGTGAAAAAAAAAAAATGAGTCTCCAGGATAACTTATACTAAGTATATTAAAGTATTGAAGTGTAGCTATATGTGTATTGATGAAAAAATGTGGGCATCAATTGCTTCTAGAAATGGACTCGGTCAATTTCTCATTTTCAGTCACTCCCCAACTGCTTGGCAAAATTCTTCAAATTGCAACATGATTTTGAGCTCAATTAAGTCATCCAGTAAACGCCATTGACTTTGAAGAAAGCCACACAATATGGCAAGTCCAATTGTTGTGTTGACGATGATCTTCGGCTTCTTCTTCGTTTCTGCATCTTGTCTATCACCAACATCTGATGCGTGTCATCCTGTTGATCAAGCAGCATTGCTTGATTTCAAGGCGAAAATAACCGACGACCCGTCGGACTTGCTGAAATCATGGAATCAAACCACCGATTGCTGCCACAGCTGGGCAGGAATCGCCTGTAATCCTTCCGGCAGAGTGGTGAGCGTTTCTCGTCCCGGCCTCGCCGACACACCCGACGGCTTCTATCTCGACACATCCATGTCCGGAACTCTGTCTCCTTGGCTCGCCAACATAACCTATCTCGAATTCCTTGACCTCAGTGAACTCAAGGAATTGGGAAGTTTTATTCCTCCTGAATTCGGGTACCTTTCGCGCCTTACTCATTTGTATCTTAACACAAACAAGCTCATTGGATCTATACCAGCAACATTCCAGAACTTGCACAAGCTGGAGAAGCTCTATCTCGATGAGAATCAGCTGTCTGGTACTGTCCCTTCAAACATCTTTCAACACCTTACATCTCTTTCAGAACTTGGTCTTTCAGACAACCAATTTTCTGGTCCAATTCCTTCCTCCATTGTCAAGTTAGTTTCACTAACCAAGATCGACATCTCTCAGAACAGCTTTTCGGGTTGTATTCCCCAAAGTTTTGGAGATCTTAAGCGTCTCGTTTCTGTTGATTTTTCTAATAATCAACTAGACGGAGAAATCCCACAATCCATTGGTGGGCTGTCCAACTTAGATACCCTGTTTCTGCATCAGAATCAGTTGAATGGAAGCATTCCTCCTTCAATCTCTGGCCTTGTTTCCCTGAGATTCTTCCGTTTATATGATAACAAGCTAACTGGAAGCATCCCATCATCGATCGGTAAACTTCATTCCATGGAAAGGCTACATTTCAACAATAACAAGCTCACAGGGAAACTACCGGATGAAATAGCTTTCAAATCTTACTGAAGTGGACTTCTCCAACAACAACCTCATAGGACAAATCCCTTCGAGTTTCGCCAATCTGCGGAGTCTTCAGTCCCTGGAATTGTCCCGAAATCAACTAAACAGTCCGATCCCTCGGAATCTTTCGAGGTTGCCGTTTCTACAGTCTCTAGACTTGTCGTTTAATCCTCTTGGACTAATCAGCATACCCGACTGGATGCAAGAATTGAAGGTTTTCGATTTACAGCTGGCGAGTACAGGAATCGAAGGGCAGCTTCCTAAATGGTTGGCTTCTTCATCATTCTCTACTCTAGTTTTGTCGAACAATGACCTGACGGGGAAATTGCCCACCTGGATTGGAAACATGACGGAGCTTGCGTTTCTGAACCTATCAAACAATGCCTTCTATTCTTCGATTCCAGATGAGTTCAAGAATCTAACCCGGTTAATGGATCTTGACATTCATTCCCACATGTTCTCAGGTGGGCTGGAATCCATATTCAAGAAACGTTTCGAGGATCCAATCGGCCGGTACAATTCCATCGATGTTTCACATAATTATTTTTCGGGTCCAATCGATGACAACATTGGAGACGAACCATCGTTATCGCGGATTTATTACTTGAACCTATCAAACAACCCGCTTGGAGGAACTATACCAAAGTCGGTAGCAAAGCTAACAGAACTGAGGACTCTATTGCTTTCGAATACTAGTTTAAGTGGTGGAATCCCGGAATCCATATTCAACTATTAGGCCACAAATTAGATCCTAACATTGGGGGTAATCAACTCATTGTATGATTTTCCTTATCATTGCTCTTACTTACCACCTCTATTTCGTTTTATCTATAGTTTTTAAGTTTTTTTTTTCTTTTTTAATAATTTTGGTGAAGCAGGACACTAGTATGTATATATGGTTAGCAACTTTAACCTTAAAAAAGTACAAGGAATGGTTTTTATATGTGGGACAACCCTAATTATTGAGCAATTGGTGAATTTGTTTCGTTAATGGAGAGCATGATTAATTCCTGCCATGGCTAACTATTTAGATTAGGTGGTATTGAACAAACCTCTGTTATGGAGAATGCAGAGTTGACACATTTGTTGATTCGAAACCAGTAACAAAAGCGAGCATGGTGATCAAAGACTTAGATTGCTTGCTCTCGCTCAATCTCATGATTAATTATCAATTCCTTTCCTCTCAAACTGATTATACAATTTGGATCTTCATTTTTTGTTCAATTATGAAGTATTTCTTCCGTCCCAAAATGGTTGCGTAGTTTGGATTTTCACTTTTTTCACAATTTGTACAAAAAGTGAAAAATCTAAAGAAATCCTTTACCTTCTGTTTTCCTTTACTGATGTAATCTGAAACAGAAGTTTCCGAACAACTCAACAGAAGCAGCCTGCTTTTAAACGATCAACACCACCAGCATGAGGGCAGCTGCAAAAGAAGGAACCAAATATGATGAGAAGCAACAAAGAAATCAAAACTCAAAAAGTCCATGAGTTTTTGGTTCTGTTTATACTAATGAGGTTCAAAATCAAATTTTCAAAAGTTGGGTGCCAACTGAGGTCGGAGAGGCTACAGAATGCAACAGCAGAACAGCTCAATTCGCAGGAAAACTAATCCGACTGAAGACTTTACTTTGGTTGAAATTGGGACGCTTATAAGATGCAATATGTCAGAAACGCATAAAAAAGAAATTGATAAAGTTGCAGAAAAGTGCAAAGAACTTACATTTGGATTTGCATTTGCATAAGCACCACAAATGCATACATAAGAAGCTATGAATATAGTTTTACAGGAAGTTGTTTTTGACCATAATAAACATCTTCTCCCAAAGTCTTGCGTCAAACAAAAACGAATCACAGTTTGTAAGTTACCAATGATTGAACTTTCCCGATATATGCATCAGTAAACTTTTTTGAATTTGAAGTTAAATGTTAATATCAAGGATAGCTGGGACTTTGTACTGTCTGAATTTGAAGTGAATAAGGATTTCCAATTAACAGAGGATCCATTCATGAACCTCTACAAAGCAATGTTTAGTTTAGTATCCGTCAGGCCCTTACTCAAAACAAAGATTCTAAATAATGGTTTGATTTTGACACAAAAACTAGCTCTGAAAATTTTTTGCTTGTCACTTTTGTTCACCAAGCACGGCTTACAGAAATGTTCGCTTGAATTAATTAACAGACTGAAAGGTAACATTCCAATTCAACTGCTAGCATTTAAAATAAAATTTCAAGTTCCATTCCAGTTTGACAAAACTGAATTTCTTATCCAAAATTGCCCCAAAACATTTCTAGTTCCTTTGCTGCCATCCGGAAACAATGTATCATTCTGAACTTCAGTGTCCTCATAGATCATCCATAACAATCAGATACTTGTTTCCCAACAAGTTGAAAGTGTTGAAACCCTTACCGGCTATTGTATTGATCATGAGTATATATAGTACGACAACAACAACTATAGTAATTACAATTATAGCCTTAACTATATATACACTAACATCCTGCAATCTAAACGTAAGATACACGAACGTTTAGATTGTCTCTAAAATTCGTAAAAAATACATGAAGCAAACCCTTAGTCATTATGTCAGCAAACTGGTGAGAAGAAGGAACATGAAGAACTAGAATAGACCCTGAGCAACCTTCTCACGAACAAAATGGATATCAATCTCAACATGTTTGGTACGTTGATTCTGAACAGGATTAGTATACAAGAAAATAACGCTGGCATTATCACAAAATACATGGTGGCAGTAGGCAACCGAATATATAGCTCCAAAAGTAAGGAATGAATCCAACAGAATTCAAAAATAGTATTAGCAACCACTCGATATTCAGCCTCAGCACTAGAACGAGAAATAATAGGTTGCCGTTTAGAGGACCCCGAGATGAGATGGGACCTAAGAAGACACAATAACCAGAAGTAGATCGACGAGTATCAGAACAGCCAGCCCAATTAGAGTCAGAATATGCCACTAACTTATCAAGAGGTGCAGATTGAAGATGAAGACCATAAGAAAGAGTGCTCTTCAGATAGCACAGAATGTGCTTGACTGCTTTGAAGTGAGAATCCCGAGACTGATGCATAAACAAACAAACCTGTTGCACTGCATAGGCTATATCAGGACGAGTGAAGGTAACATACTGGAGAGCTCCCACAATACTGCAATACTCATATGGATCAACAAACAACTCTCCATCAAGCTGAGATAATTTAGCTTTATTATCAACAGGAGCGATAGCAGGATTAGCAGAAGCAAGATGACATCGGTCAAGAAGATTGGCAATGTACTTCAACTGTGATAGAAAGAGACCATTAGGGGTACGTGAGACAGAAATGCCAAGAAAAATAATGCAAACTCCTTTCTCAACTGAGCAATGATAGAAGACAAGAGCGAGGTAGAAGAAGCAGTGAGAAGAATGTCGTCAACATAAAGTAGAAGAATAGCCATGTATCCACCATGACGGTAAACAAACATAGGAGAATCAGACTTGCAAGATCGAAAACCACGAGTAGCAATGAAGGAAGAAAACCTCTGAAACCAAGACCGAGGGGCTTGCTTAAGGCCATAGAGAGCACGGTTGAGCTTGCAAACATAGTCAGGATTAGGGGTGTTCATGGTCCGGATTGGTCCGAGTTAGCCGTAATCCGTAACCAAACCGTTCATTATGGTTTTAAAATTTTTGAAACCGTAACCGGACCGAATTGATGTATAAACCGGACCAATCCAATACGTTTTGAACGGTTTGGTTTGGGCGGATTGGCGGTTTGGATTTCTAATTGGACTTTTCCATTTTGGGCCAAAAATTAAACTTTTTTTTGTTATGTGACTTTTTTCGGCCTTTTTTGAGGGTTTTTCATGAATTTTTTTGGGCGTTTTTTCGGCCTATTTGGGGGAAAATGGGAGGAAAAAAAGAATTTGTGAATGGGGGGACTCGAACACGCGACCTCCAACATATGTAAAAATACAAGAAATAACAATACCAATGAGCTAACTTAACATTTTTAATACAAGTCATCATCCGGCTCTATATATATAAAAACAATTATATTATTAATATATATATATATATATATATATATATTTATACGGTCTGGTCCGGTTTGACAAACGGTTTGAAAGTGCCAATCCGTAATTCGGATCGGTATGATCGGTTTTTTATTTTTCAATCCGCCGGTTTCAAAATACAATTAAAATCCGCCCGTTAAACCGAACCGATGACCGGATTGGGCGGTTCCACCGGTTTGAGCCAAACCGTGAACATCCCTACTTTCCATATGTGTACGTGTTTAGGAGAAAAGTTGCTTCATTTGAATATACAAGAAATTCAGCTAGTCCACCATATTTGTTACTTTCTTCGGAGCTCAATTGTCAACTAATCTTATACTCCCTCTGTCCCAAAATTATTGTCCAATTTGAGATCTCACTTTTAGTACAATTTGAACTAAAAATAAAAACTCAAACAAGACAATAATTATGGGACGGGGGGAGTATATAATTAAGATCCAAATTGTAGTTTAGATTTAAAAGTTGAACCTAAAACAAGTCGTACCCTACACAAAAAAAAAAAAAAAAACGTCCTAGTAGACTTCCAAAGTGTTACAAGTCTTCCAAGGGACCTCAAGGATCAAACTAATACTCAAATCCCCTTACAAGAAAAACTTCACAGCTTGCATCGATTGATTCTTTTTTTGAATTGGTAAAAAAACTCATCCTTCAGTCTACTGTTACCACCACTAACTTAAGTAATGTCGGTTAGCTAATCCGTACAACGCAACATGAACCCACAAAAAATGGGGAGAAAAAAAATTAGAGATCAATCATTTTATTTTCTCTAATGAAAACCGTTAATAAGCTAATTTTCTTTTATCTTATATACTCCCTCCGTCCAAAAATTATTGTCCAATTTGGATTTTCATTTTTTGCACAAATTAAACTAAAAGTGAAAAATCTAATAATCTGTACAATAATTTTCAGACAGAAGTGGAACTCAATAATAGAACCAAGAGGAGTATTTTTTCGGCTCCATGTTTAAGGAAAAAACAGCAACGGGGGCGGCAGCTAAAGATATTTGGAAATATACTTTTTATTTATCGAGAAATTCCGTTCAAAACTATATATGTGATGTTCATACTTTCTTTTTAGTATAGGAGAAAAGTGTATGTATACACGTACACAGTCTGGAATGGTAGACACGTTGTTTTAGCGTGAGTTAAGATAGTATTTGGTGCATTATTCGACTAAATTTAAGGAATAGTTTAAGACTTTGAGCGTTGTGCTTTCTTTCTTAAGTACTAACTTGAAAGATTTTAATAAGAAGGCAAAAGAAGAAGAAGAAGAATCAGAGGGATTTGTACTCCTCTATTCCAAAATAAGTGTCGTTTAACCAAATTGATAAATTCTAAAATAAGTTGTATTTTTTGTCAAATTTTTCCAAACATACTCTCAAAAGAAATAATATTATTGGCGAGCATTTATTCTAATAGGATTAGTTGAAGATATTCTAGTAATTTAGCTACCATATTTAATGTTTTCTTAAACTGTGTCCAAACAATAACATTTATTTTAAAACGGAGAGAGTATTTAGAGGTTTTAGTGGCAGTATATGACCATAAATGTTTTGCATGGCTGGCAAAACGCGGTTTTACTTGCCATCGGCTCACCTGCCGAGGTTCGAACACATCAGCATTTTAACTTTACTAGGAAATTTGGTTTTGTTTGGATCATAAATTGC